AACAACACCGAATTAGCTGAAATTGAAAAAGAAAAAAAACAAAAACAGAAAAAGAAAGAAAAGCAGAAAGAGAAGGAGAAGGAGAAAGAAAAAGAAAAGGAGAAAGAGAAAGAAAATCAGAAGCACAATCCGAATCAGAAGCAGAAACTAAAGGATAAGCAGAAGGAAGGTAAAGCAAAAAATGATGATTTGTGCCCCAATGACGAAAGTAGGGCAGCCAAAAAATGCGAGCCTGTGAAGAATAGTAAGCCGGACAATAAGGGAACCAACTTGAAGAATAAGAAGAACGTCCACAAGGAGAGTCGCACGAACGATGGCGACGAGGACGAGGAAGACGATGATAATGAGAGCAAAAGTCGCAACAAAAATGATCGCAACAATGATAGCAACATCTACAGCAACGAAATTGGTAGGTGTCAACTAGACGAAAAGAGCAACACTCTCACCGTCGTGGGGAAAGGGAAAAGGGAACCAAAGAGTAAATGTGACGACGGGAAAGAATCCAAGGGGAGTAGCACGTGCGGGGGAGGCACCCCTAGTGGAACTGTCAGCGGCACGAGTAGCGCAATTGGAAGCGCAATCGGAAGCGCAATCGGGAACGAAATCGGAAACGCTAACGGAACCGCCAAAGGTGTGCAGAAGGCAAATGCGCATAACCAAAAGGCAAGGAAAAAAAAAAAAGAAATGAACAAGGAAAATAAAAAAACTAACGCCAAAATAGACGCACCCAAGGAAAAAAACAGAACGACGGATGTCACTAACACAAACAGCAACGAACATGCGAAAGATAAAATGAATGGCCACAAGAATGGTGCCAAGGAGATCAATGGTAATGAAGAAAACGGCACACATAGCAACAGCGCCGCTGAAGGGAAGATAACGATCAGTACCTTCACACAAGGGGAGAACAACGAGAAGAAGAAAAACACCACGGAACAAAAGAACAAGGCGAATTCTAAGAAGGCCGCGAAGAAAAACAAACAGAAGGTAAAAATGGCAAATTGTGTGTGTACTCCGATTTGGGGTGCAAAAGGGGGGAGTGAAAAAAATCGAGAGGTGCAATCAGTTCCTTATCGCGTATATGGCCGATGAGGCATTCAAACCTGTCGTCTACATGACGCCGAAATGGGGTGCCACATATAAGCGCACATAAATGTATACACCTGCCTTCCCTACCTCCACAGAGCGAGAACTACCTGCAGAACACCTGGGTGTTCTTATTCGACAAGGAAAACAGGAAGTACTACGAGCAGTTCGTGAACGGGCTGGTCTCCCTCGAAACGTTTAACACGATTGAGAAGTTTTACAAGTAAGGGGGGAGAAAAAATGGCAGGGATGACACCCGGCGCCACAGTGAGGAAGCAGCGAAGCGACGAAGCAGCGAAGCGACGAAGTGATGAAGCAAGAGAACCCGCCGTACACCTCCCTTCCTGTCCCCCTTCCCTCTCACAGGAACTACAAATACATGAAATCCCCATCGTCCATCAAGGAGTATTACAATATCTACCTCTTTAAGCACAACTACAAGCCGATTTACGAGGTAAGGCGGGCCAGCGACATGGCAGAGGAGGGAAAAAGCGAAAACAAAGCAGGCCAAATGAAGTAAAACAAACCAAATGAAACAAACGAAATGGGACAAACCAAATGAGAGAAAGTGAACCAAGTGGGAAAGAATCAGTAGGGGGACCCCAAAAGAGTGCCGCACCCTCACATTTGCTAAAAAATCAAGCGACGCGATCACACTTGACCAAATAAATTCTCTTCCTCTCCCAACGCAGGAATACTCGAACGGATTCATTTGCATCATAAAAAACGATCACTGCTTTAGGGACAACGTTGCCGATTTGATTTGGGAAAAAATGGTAAGTCCGGGGCAAAGTGCAGGGCAAACTCCGCCTCAAAGTCCGCGACAAAGTCAGAGTCTTTTGACCTCCAACTCTTTTGGGCATTCCAATTTGAGAGGAGAAGGGAAACCTACGCTGCGAGAAAAGGCAAAAAATAAGTACAGCGAAGAAGTGGTGCATACCGGTAGTGCTAACAAAATTAACGTCTCTTCCCCTTTTGCGAATCCCCCCCCCCCACCTCGCAACCCCCTAGGTCCTCCTGGCCATCGGAGAAGAATTCAATTTGGTCGACCTCTCAGGAATACAAGTGTGCATAAGAGAAAACGAAATTTTTTTCAAAATATGGATGAAGAACTACTCAAACTATATAAAGAACATTCTAATGTAAGAAATGGAAAGAGGGATTGAGCGACCGATTGAGCGACCCATTGACCGAGGCGCCGCGACCGTGCCAGTGTTACCTCTCCTGTGGATGCGTGTCGAACGTTGTGCACAAGAGAAAGTTGCCTTTTCTTTTCTGCCCCCATTAGGAAACGAGTAAGCGAATTGCTGGACCTGCCACCGGACACCTCCATAATAACCAAGATTCTCTCCGTATGATTCAAGAAGATGAAAAGAGTGAAATTAGGAAATTTTTTTTTCTTTTTTTTTTTTTTTG